ACACTTCATCAAACACTTAAAGAAGAGTCCTCTGGCTTAAATGTTGCTATTGAAGATAGGTACTTTTGATGAAACCTTTTTAAGGATGTGCCATTGACATAATCTATGATGAGTATGGGTGATGCATCTTCTATGGCCTTAGCCATAGCTTGGTCATGATTAGTGAATATTATTATTGGATGTTTATTACCCATTATTTGTACAAATATTTTAAATAACCAATAAAAATTTCAATTATTTCTTCTGACAAAAAATTAACTCCTAACAAAATGTTCCACCAATAATTATTATCACCAACAAATGTTGCACATACAAAATTATACTTGTTGAGCCTGTAACTAGTATAAATAATTAATACATCTCTAAAATATTCTTAATCTATCATGCCTATGTTAAGAGAGTTGCTATTTGCATGTTTTACATTCTTGCAACTTCTATAGTTTTGATGATTCCAAATATTATTGTTTTGTGTAGTTATCTCCTAACACTTTTTGGAAGATTTGTTTTTGCTCTTGTGTGTACTAACATTTCAGAAAAATTAAACTCCAAACTACTGAAGACTTCAAATCAAATTTAGCATGAGATATCTTGTATTTTGAAGCTTGTAATTTTTGTATGAATTAAGTTTGAGAGGGAGTGATTGTAATTGAGTGAATAAACACACACATACTTGAGGAGATTTTCAAAATTTTGTACTGATCGTACGGGATGAATACAATTTGTACGGGATGATCAGGTCAGTTATCTCCTTTTAAGAGCAATAGAACAAACAATTTTTGGAGAAAATTTTTTCTAAGTCCTAATCGTCCAGGACGAAATTATTTTCGTCCCAAGACGGGCTAGGCTCTGTAAAATTTTTGTCTAGACAAAATTATTTTCGTCCCAGGACGAGCTAGGCTCTGTAAAATTTTCGTCAACATGAAATTATAATCGTGCCAGGACGAGCTAGGCTCTATAAAATTTTTGTCCAGACGAAATTATAATCGTCCCCGGATGAGTTGGGCTCTGTAAGATTTTCGTCCATACGACATTTATAATCGTGCCTGGACGAGTTACTCTTTATAAAAATTTCATTCAAATGAAATCCTGTTCGTCCCAGGACGATGGAAACCGACTTAAGTAAGTTGGTTACATCCTATAGTTATTTTTGAACCGACCTATGAAATAACTGTTCGTCCGGACGAACCTAGTTTGTACGGGACGATGATCGTGTACGAACATAGTTCATACTAATATTCATTAGGATCATTTCCGACACTTTTAAGTAAAATCGTCCAGGACGATCCACGATCGTACGGGACGATCCATTTCGTGTTGACTTGAAAATTTGCAATTTTTGGATGGTTTTTCTTGTCTCTTCTATATATAGTCCAATTTAGACTGCCACCAAATCTTTTTGCTCATTGATCTTTGTGCCTATTGAAAGAAGAGTCAATAAGAGAGTGTGAGAGAGTATTGTTAGGAAAGTTGTTATTTGCATGTTTTACATTCTTACAACTTGTATAGTTCTGATGATTCCAAATATTATTATTTTATGTGTTGTTATCTCCTAACATTTTTTGGAAGATTTGTTTTTGCTCTTGTGTGTAATAATATTTCAGGAAAATTGAACTCCAGACAACGCAAGACTTCCAATTTCAGATTATAATGAGTTACTATGAGAATTGAAAGCTGTACTTTATATTTGAATAATATGGAGTGGGAGTTGATGTAATGAGTGACAATTTCACACCACTAATTGGCAAAGATCTTTGAAAAAAGTTTTGTACTGATCGTACGGGACGCAATCATTGTTCGTACAGGACGATCAGATCAGTCATTCTCTTGTAAGAGCAATGGAACGGACAGAACTGAATTGGAAAATTTTACTAAAGTCATGATCGTAACAGAACGAATAAATATTTTCGTCCAGGACGAGTTGCTTCTTCTGTAAAATAGTGTCCAAACGAAGTCATGTTCGTCCAGGACGAGTTGAACCGACTATGGCAGTTTCCTGGCAACATTCTATAGTTTCAGAACCAACTTTGTTATACTGTTCGACGGACGAAATTTTTTCATACGGGACGAAACCTATTCGTCCAGGATGAAATGGCTTTCGTATAGATGCCCAATGGTTCGAGGGAACAATTTTTTACATTTTCGTCCGTACTAAACTCAGTTTCGTACGGGACGATCCACAGTGCTCAGAAAAAAATGTTTTTAGCAGTTTTTTGGGCGGTTTTTCAATGTCTCTATCTATATATAGGAGTCCTAGAAACTATTACAAGTGCCTTTGGATTTGTTTCTACTTAAGGGATCATTGAGAGTGAGAGTTTGGAAGAGAATGTAAGATGAAGATGAGAGATCAAAGTGAGGGGTTTTGGAGATCACCAAGGTTACTTGAAAGAGAAGATCTCTTTGTTTCAGCCCATCCTCTGAAAGGCCTTCAAGTGAAGTTCAACAAACATCGGCCCGGTTCTCTGCCGACACTTGGAGAGTGTAAAAGGACGACAAAAGTGTATCTTGGGCAGCCATTGGTCTTCGTTCTTTTGGAGAAAACTAGAAGAGAGAACTTGAAAGGGAGAGAGAAAGGGTAGAGTTTGAGAGGGAGGATCTTGGAGGGTATTTCAAGGGAGTGTGGAGGGATTTCAACGAGTTGCTCCGGCAAACTTGCACTTCAGTACCATCGGATTCAAAGGTCATCTTGAGGGAAGTTTTGGCGAGAAGAAAGATATTTTGGTGTCAAAGAACCCGGCTACCGCCGGCAACCGGGGAAGGTGAAAGTGAATTTTGTACAGGCTTCTCCGCCTTGCTGTGGGGCAAAGGAGAGTCACTTTATGTATTAGTGCAATACTCGGAGGTGCCTCCGGGGAGTGGACATAGGTCAAGGTTTGACCGAACCACTTAAATCTGGTGTGTCTCTTATTTTTCTTACACATTTAATTTCATTGCAAGTTGCTTACTCTTGTTGAAAAGTTTATTTTTTAAACTTTAAATTTAACTTGCATTAATAATTAAAAAGGTTTTCTAAAAATTCAAGAGTAGAAGTATAATTTTTTAAATTACCAATTCACCCCCCTCTTGGTTAGCCTTGGGACATTTAATTAGGCTTAACATCCTAATTCATATTAAACGAGTTCCAACAAGTATTTGAAGAAGGATTCTTGCTATACTGGAGCGTGAAGGCTTCACTTAGAGTTTAAAGGTAAGAGTCTTTGCTTTTGAATTGTGATTACTTCACTCTTTTTCTTTCTTCCCTACATTTTTTTGCGAGGAGCTGTCAAGAAATCCGTTTCCCGCCGACACTTGGAGGAGTGTGAAAGCAGAAGGTCTTTCTTGCCCACATAGTGAGAGTGTGAACAGCCGAAGGTTCTCTTTCCACACTAAGAGAGTGTAAAAGGACAAACGGTCTCTGCCAACACTAGGATAGTGTAAAATGACGACGGTTCTCTACCGCACCTGGTAGTGGTGGAAAGAGTTTGTTGTAAAGGCTTCTCCGTCTTGCTGTGTTTGCAAAAGGAGAGACACTATTGGTATTAGTGCAATACTCGGAGGGTGCCTCCGGGGAGTGGATGTAGGTCTGGTTTTGACCGAACCACTATAAATCTTGTGTCTTTTATTCTTTACTGTTTTTTATTTTCTGCTTTTTCTATTTTAAAAATTATGGTTGAAAAACTATTTCTAAAAATTCATTAAAGTTTACTTTCGATTCAAAATATTCAAAAGAGGGATAAATTTTTTAAAATACCAATTCACCCCCCCCTCCTGGATAGCCTTGAGACATAAGCTTAGGTTTAACAACCTAATTCATAGTGAATGTGTTTCAACAGCCTCTCCCATCAACCCTGAAAAAATTTAACAATCTATCATACTCATCAATATGAACATCTAGTCCTCAACTTGTCGATCTTTAAATAATTAAATCAAAAAATTAGTATCACTAAATGCAATCCTTGCCCTTTTCTCCTTTTGAATAAAATTGTAGGCATCCCTCTTAGAGAATCCAACATTCTCATGTCCTCCAACTTCCTCTACAAGATAGACATTTGCATTAACGGTTCTAATCCCTGCATCTGTCATTGATTTTAGGATGGAAGCTTTTTCCTCAACAATATTCCTACATGATCCCAGAAGGTGTCGGTCGGCTGGGCTAGCCAATTCATAGTTACTATTTTCATCAATAGCAAATCTAGCCATAAATGGACAACCAGTTCTAACATCTAGTATAATAAATTTCTTTCTTGAATTTAGATTAATACTTTTGTTGAAACCAGCTTTTGAACAGACAAAATTCTTAGACTTTATCTTCTTAGAATTTGGCTAGAAACTATGATGACTCTTTCGGACACTAAAGCCATTATTATGGGCATAAGTACAATAACATTTATATGTTTCTCTCTCATCTTTATAAATAGTCTGAAATGAAAAGAAAAATTAAAAAAAACATAACTAAAGCGTAACTATAGTGCACATAAAGCTCAACAAATGCGCATCATCTTTATCTTTACCAACCCTAAAAATAATAATGTTCTTCTTCATAAAAACACTAATGAAATCTAAACAACAACATCTAAGAGCTTATTTACTTTTTCGCCTAAACCCTAAACACACTTCTAATAGCCTGAGCCTCTAATGAGTGGAAACCTATGTCCTTTTTCTACAAAGTTTTTTTTTTTTATAACATTCTAGCTCATTTTTTCTTAATACAACTTGCGATGAGATCAAAACTTATCGATATATTGAAACCTGAAGAAGTTCCAACTAACTTCCGATTCATTCATCCCTTTCGATTCATGCACTCCTTCCCCCTCTCTCTTTCGAGAGCATTCAACATCTTTTTTGTAAATTTCTAGCTCCTTTTTTCTTAAAAATAATAAATATTTAGGTCTTTCAGTGATTTTTAAAATAGTGCCAACCCTATATTTAAAATGAAAAAAAAAAAAAAAAATAGTGAAACAGATTAGATCGGACCAGACTAAGATATATTAAGTTAAAATATTATATTAAACCGGACTTAATAATCATTTTTACCATCCTCACGAATTTTGTAACCCCTCCGGCTTCTCCTGCCAGAGTGTCATCCTCATTCGTCTCTCTCTCCAATCACCATTTCTAGGCTGCTAGGGATCAATGGCCCGTTTTGCTAGCAAAAATGCATCCAGGAAGTATATGGTTTTGTTGTTCTTGATCGCTCTTTTTGCGATCGTTTTACTCGCGGATTTCCTTTGGGCTGCTTCTTCATCCTCTGCCTCATCGCCTTACTGGTCTACAAACTTGGATTTTTCTTTGCAGACTAACGCTGGTGCAGCTGCTGCAAACAATAACGAGCAGGTGAGTGCCTCAAGCATTCAGTTTCAGTCATGGTGTGAAAATTAGGGTTTCAGTTCTTCTTAGGTAGACTTGAACTGCTGTTTTTGGTGACACGTGTCAACGCTTTACGATCCCCGGAGGGTATTCATGCATAGGTGATTTGGTAGTGGCTGTAATGGTTCGTGCATTGTTGTTAGGGGATCCGAAACCGGATGTTTTGGAAGCCTAGACGCGGTACTATGTTTATTTTTCTATTCGATTATTTTTGGTGAGATTTCACTCTTTTATTTGGCACGGATGGATTTGTACCTCGTTTCTCCTTCTAGGACACCTTTTATGTTTATGCCTGCGGGATCTTGAACTACACAAGTCATGATAGCTCTTCCTACATCACATGACAAAGGTTGCTTTGGCTACCTGAGCATGGTTTGCGGTGATTTTTAAATAAATCTTCTGTAGACTTTTGAAATACTGTCAAGCAGTGCTAAACGTTATGGTTTGATGGCCAGTTATATATCTCCTTATTTTTTTCCGGGAAATTTTGCGTGCGACTCATATTAAGCAGCTTTCAAAGTTCTGTGCGCCATTTTTATTGGGGCCCATGCTTTAGATAATAAGCAATTTGGACATTTAGGCGGAGAGGGAGCAGTTCTACGGAATCTGGCTATTTCTTTGATTTCTTTGGATTATGTGGTGGAGAGGCAACGAATGTGATCCCTGGGGCCAGTAGAATGGAATGCCTTTATTTTATACATCAACAGTAGTTACAAATAAGAGTCTTTGCGCCACCTGCAAGGGAGTGTGCGTTTATAGATTTCGAAGAAAGTGTTTTGATGCAGAACACGAAGGTCACGGCATAAATCTAATTTTTCATGGTAGTATCTGTATTTGTGAATATAATAAGAATTTAAGGTACCTTGCAAATGGACTCATCATATTAGTAGTTAATCATCAGTTTATGGAAAGAATACAATCATCATCAATTTATGCAAAATTAATCATTTCAGAAATTATTTTGTTGCCATAATTATCATGAAAGATGTTGATTACTATTAACATCTTTACCTCAGTATAGTAATAAATATAGTTGATCTTTTGGATCCACTTCAAGATATGACAAGGGTGGAGTAATAAAAGAAGAAATTGACCATCAATAAAGCAATATTATTGAACCGCTCTCTTATATTAGCATGGTGGGGTATCCTCACCTCTCTCTCCACCTTCCATTAATGCTTTAATATGAGGAAAAAATATTTTGGATGCTTCATAATCAAGGATCTCAATTAAGCAAGTTAGCAGTCAATTACGCAATCAAGTATGAAGATTTTGGACCCTTTTTTTTACCTTCATGAAATTATATATTTTTGTGCTTTTTTAATGCTTATAAATATAAATGACTTGTGTTAGAAGATAATATTGAATTGAATCATGTATTAGGATTGCTTGGTGTCATTATATGGAAGAATTTTATGGCTTTCTCATTCATGGATATTTTGATGAGTTTTCATCAAAATAATATCTATATTACTTTTATATTATTTTTCTTATGTAATAATGGTATCCTTTTCCTTTTCATTATTGTATTTTCATGTTATCTCACTCTTTATCTCCATCATTTGGTATCAAAACTTGAAGCTTGAACATTTATTGCATGTTAGAAATAATTTGATGACTTATCATTTTCTTTGTAATATTTTTTTATATAATTAGTTGTGTTTCTAAATTCTCTAAAAACTTTTAATCTCCTTACAAATTTTCAAATCTTATTTGCCATCAACTCTACAAGGTGTTAAAGGGCTTGGCGCTCATCTTTATTGATTATTTAGTGGGTTTCAACCATCTTTGAAATATTGTTTTTTTGTCTTTGTGTGCTATGTTTGAGAGTTGCTCTTTTCCTTGCACAAATTGTCATGTTTTTCTTTTTCTTCAATCATATATAAAGTTTTGTGCTTTGTTGTTATCTAGTGTTAATTCATTATTGAGTGCCTACCCTTATTATAAAATAGCTTGAGATGAATAATTTGTTTTTTTTTAATTTAGTTTATGATAATTATCACTAGCTTATTAGTTTTGGGTTTTAAGATGAAGGGGAAAAATATAAAATAAAGTGGAACACTGTTTTAGGATTAGATAGGGGCTTTTAAAGAATATTAATTTTTTTTTTAGAGTTAGATTCTAGATCTTAAGATTTTGTTTGGGCATGAGGAGCTAATATTATGTGGGAAAAAGTAGCTTGTGATGTTAAGAATGTTGCAAAGGATATACTTGAAGTATCAAAGGAAAAATCTCCTGATAGTAAAAATAATTGGTGGAATTAAAATATGCAATAAAAAATAAAAAATAAGAAGCTTTGTTATAAAAATTGATTTATATGTAAAAATTTTGATAATTGAGAAATATATAAAGAAGCCCATAAGGAATCCAAGAAAGCAATACGCGATGCAATGATAATTTACATTATAGATTATATAATAAGAAGAACGAAACATACATGTATAAGTTAACCAAACAAAGAGATAGAAGTTGTAAGGATTTAGTTCAAGTGAAGTGCATTAAGGATGAAGATTAAAAAATGATTTTATTAGAAGAGGATATTCAACAAAGTTTGATGAGATGTTAAGCTTTTCAATGAAGATTTTGAGAATACGTTTGACTTTATTGACCTTAGCAGCCTAAATGAAATAAAATTTTTTATTTTTATCGGTGTATTAGTAAAACCAAAGTTAGAGAAGCTTTAAAGAAAATGAAGTGTGGAAAAGTTGTTGGATCTTATGGTATTTCAATAGAGGTGTCAAAATGCTTAGGAGATGAAGGAGTTTCTTGTCTTACTAAACTTTTTAATATATTTTGATGACCAAAAAGATGCTAGAAAAGTGGAGAATGAGTGAGGTGATTCCTATTTTTAAGAATTAAGGTGATGCACAAGATTGTACAAATTATAAAAGAATTAGGTTAATGTGTCATACTTTAGAAGTATAGGAGAGAGTGATGGAGTATATGTTAAAATGTGTTACTAATGTTTCTCAAAATCGATTTGAATTCATGTCATGTAGATCTAGTATGGAAGCTATACATTTATTGAGAGGTTTAATGGAGAAGTATAGAGGGAATAAGGAGGATCTATATATGATATTTATTGATTTAGAGAAAGCATATTATAAAGTTTCAAGAGAAGTGCTATGGAGAGTTATAGAAAAGAAAGAGATTAATTTGCTTATATTCAAGTCATTAAGGATATTTATGCAGGAGGTGTTACTTAGTATTTTTCTATTTAAGTTGGATTACATCAAGAATTAGCCTTAAGCACATATCTTTTTGCTTTAGTCAGTATGTTCTTACTAGACATTTGCTAGAGGTTGTACCATGGTGTATGATTTTTGCTGATGATATTTTTCTGGTTGATAAGACTAGAGAGGGAGTTGAAGATAAACTTGAATTATGGAGGTCATCCTTACAGGCAAAAGTTTTTTTTTTGAGTAGATCTAAAACCGAATATATGGAGTGTAATTTTAGTAGTAATAGATATAGTGGAAGGATTGTGATATTGGGCGATCAAGTCATTAATTAAAGTACACTTTTTTTATATCTTGGGTCTATTGTTTAGAGTGATGGTGAAATAGATGAGAATATTAGTAGAATTCAAGTTGGATGGTTGAAGTGGAGGAATGTTTTGGATTTGTTTTGTGATAGAAAAGTCCTCAAACTTAAGGGAAAATTCTATAAGATGATGGTAAGACCTGCAATGATTTATGGTGCAGAATAGAATAATTGACCAATAAAAGAGAAGCATAATATTAAGCAACGTTTTAAAAGGCGAAATCGGGAATCGAGGCGTTTTGGCTAAGCGAGGCGAGGCGTAAGCCTTGAGGCGGATCGAGGCGTAAGCCTAAAAAATGATAAAAATAAAGTAATTAACAGTGCCGAGCGGTACTGGCTCGGTACCGAGCAGTACTGGCTCGGTACCGAGCATGCACGGAGCAATATCGAGCATGTACCTAGTGGTACTGGCTTGGTACCGAGCGTGTACCTAGTAGTACCGAGCATGTACCGCTCAGTACCGAGCATATACTTGCTCAGTACCGAGCGGTACTGGCTCGGTACCGAGCATGTATTGAGCGGTACAAGCTACACAATAATTATTATTAATACTATTAATTATATATTTAATAATATATATTTAAATTTATATTAACTAGGCTAATTATATTAATATTTAATTAATAATTATATTACTAATTAGTCAATTAATTTATGCACTAATTATACTATTAAGTATTTAATTAATTTGATTAATTATTAATATTTAAATTATATTAATTAAGTTAATCAATAATAACTTAGCTGTGTCTAGGGTTTGCCTTTCATCTTCTCTTTTCGTCCTTGTTGTTCGGCTTCGTTGCTTCATAGGAGGTGTATAGATTACACGCGTCGCTTCTTTGGCTCCTTTGTGGCTGTTCAACTGCGCTCCTTTGACGACTTTCCCTTCCCGTCAGATCATAAGTTACGACATTTTGATAAGAAGAAACAACGGGAGCTCGTTGGCTCGCTGGCTTTGAAGGTAACTTTCTCCCTTTCGAGGCGCTGCCCCGATGCGTAAGCCTCAGTTCGCCCGACCTCCGCCTCGATTCGAGGCGTGCCTCGAGGCGTCCTCCTCGAACGCCTTTTTAATCGATGATATTAAGTTAAGTATTACCGTGATGAGCATGCTTGAGCATGCTTAGGTGGATGAGGGGCTTTATTGTTAGAGGCAGAATACGAAATGAGCATATGCATGAAAGGTTAGACTAGCTCCAGTCAAAGATAAGATTAAAGAGGGTTGTCTTAGGTGGTTTGGTCACATAAAACGGCGGTCTTTCGATGGCCCAATTAGGAGAGTAGATGTATTAAATTTGACTTATGTTAAGAAAGGTTGAGGCAGACCTAAAATATTTGTTTAGAAAATATTAGAAATGATCTTTCATTATTATATTTAAATGAGAATTTAACTCTTAACTATACATAATGGAGAAAAAAAGGATTCATATGGTAGTGGGATAAAAGCTTGTTGTTGTAGTTAATGATAATGATCATAATTATTTTAGTTTACTTTTTAATTTTGCTTTTTTAATTGTTGTGTTGAATTTTTTCACTTTTATTTTAACCTTTATATGTTAGTAATGCTATATCAATATATTGCAACCATTTAAACTCTAAGGTTAATGTTTTTTAAAAATTAGTGGAATATGTTGTAGAATAAGAAGATTCTGACATAAATTTGACTTATTATGACATGAATTTGATTTGTTAATGAAATAAGATTTTGAAGTACCTTATAAATGGAGTCATCATCATTTAAGGAATTTGACATAATAAAGCAAATAAGAAAAAAATGATTCACCTCATTCTCATCATCTATTTATGAAAATAATACAATAATTTCGATTTATGCTAACTTTTATATTTAGAAACTTGTATGTTGCCACCCTCATGATGGAAGATGTTGATTACCATTATTGATCATCACTTAAAAATAAACTAATACTTCATATGGGAGTAACATATTTTTATAAAATATGAAACAAAAGTATTATTAGTTTTATGGAAAGAATGTGCCATCAACATCTTCGTGGAATAAATGTGTCTACGAAGCTTGTACGAATTTCCTAATCTCTCTCCATATATATTTAATCTAAAGTCTTTTGACATTTTATTGATTGAAGTCTAAAATTGTGTAGAGTGTTAAGTATTCACGGGCAGTGAAAGTGTTGCATCGTTCGAGTGGGAGGCACTACGGTGCTAAGCTCTCGGGTTAGAGAATGAAAAAAATCTAAATTTGGGGAGCTTTGCGACGCTCATAGGTAGCACTGCGGCGTTGAGCTCTTCCTTTGGGGAGGATATAAAATATTCGAGTTGAGTGCTATTGTGCTGTGCATTAGAGTGCTATGACGCTGGGCACTGAAATGAGTTTTTATATATAAATGAATATCTAAAGCCATCTGTAATTCACTCACCCCTATTCCTCACTCAGTTGGCCTGACAGAAGACATGAGAAGGAGAGAGAGAGAGAGAGAGAGAGAGAGAGAGAGAGAGAGAGAGAGAGAGAGAGGAGAAGTTTTGGTGGCCAACTTGCGAGATTTTTTGACGACTAGTTCAGGATATTGAACAACTCAAGGTAGGCTTTTGTTCCTCTATTTTGTTTTTAATTTGGTTGTAAATTAAGAGTTTTGGGAATTAAATCCTTTAATTCGAGTTTTTACTAGCTTTTTCAGTGTAACTTTCTATATGTTTTAGCATTTTTTATTTTGAGCATTTTGATCAGTAAAGTTTGAATTTTTACTAGTTGGTTTCAATGTATGAATTTTATAATGTTTTGTGAATTTTTGTTATTTATATTGAAAAGTGCATAGTTAAATAAAAGTTCTAAATGTTGTTTTGAATGTCTCATAAGTGTTTATTTGAAATGTTACTATGGACAAATCAATTTGGATTCATGCCAGGTAGGTTGACTATGGAAGGCATACACTTATTGAGAGGTTTGATGGAGAAATATAGAGGAAATAAGGAGGATGTACATATGATATTTATTGATTTTGAAAAAGCATATTATAAAGTTCCAAGAGAAGTGCTATGGAGAGTTCTTGAAAAGAAAGGAGTTAATAATGCTTATATTCAAATCGTTAAAGATGTGTATGCAAAAGCTATTACTTGTGTTCAAACACAAGGTGGTTTGACCAAGTATTTTCCTATTTCAGTTGGGTTACATCAGGGATCAGCCTTAAGCCCATATCTTTTTGCTTTAGTCATGGATGTTCTCACTAGACATTTGCAAGAGGAAGTACCTTGGTGTATGCTTTTTGCTGATGATATTCTTCTTGTTGATAAAACTATAAAGGAGTTGAAGGTATACTTGAATTATGGAGGTCAACCTTAGAGTATAAAGGTTTTCGCTTGAGTAGATCTAAAATGGAATATATGGAGTGTAATTTTAGTAGTAATAGACATAGTGAGGGGATTGTGACTGGGAGATCAAGTCATTAATAAGAATACATATTTTAGATATCTTGGATCTATTGTTCAGAGTGATGGTGAAATAGATGGGGATATTATCAGCAGAATTCAAGTTGGATGATTTAAGTGGAGGAATGCATCGGGCTTGTTGTGTGATAGAAAAGTACCCCTCAAACTTAAGGGAAAATTCTATAAGATGGTAGTGAGGCCTGCAATGCTTTATGGTGTCGAATGTTGGCCATTAAAAGAGAAGGATAATACTAAGTTAAGTGTGGCAGAGATGAGGATGCTCAGGTGGATCAGTGTCTTTACCCTTAGAGATAGGATATGAATTGAGCATATACGTGAAAAGGTTGAAGTAGCTCCAGTAGAAGATAAGATTAGAGAGAGTCGCCTTAGATGGTTTGGTCACATAAAACGGCGGCCTTCTGATGACCCGATTAGGAGAGTAGTGGTATTAGATTTGACTTATGTTAAGAAATGTAGAGGCAGACCTAAAAAGACTTGGTTAAAAAATATAAGGATTGACCTTTATTTATTAGATTTAAACGAGAATTTGACTTTTAATAGGACACAATGGAGAAAAAGGATTCATGTAGCCGATCCCACGTAGTGGGATAAAGGCTTGAATGTTGTTGTTGTTGTAGTTATGTATGTTTAAATGCCTTGTTCATGTTTATATTCTCATGTGAAATTGTATTGCATATGGAAGATGTTATATGGGGAGATGATTAAGTTCAATTAAAAGTTATGTTTTATGGGCCCATATATGTTTATATTTATGTATTTCTCCTCTTGTCTTGTACAGGAGTGAGATGATTAAGTGGAGGTATAAGTGGAAGTGAAGTTATAAGGCTAATTTTACTCAATATAATTGCTCTCTAGATGTCGGTCAAAATGTTTGTCATATAGATACTGGCCATCCTGGAGGTTAAATGAATAATAAAATAAGTTTGAATCAAAGCTGATCATTATTTATAAGAAATGCAATCTTTACAAGCAATAGCACATTAGCACTCAATTACATAAATAGCATTTGATTAGTTGCATTGGCTTAACGCTATATTTTAAATGACACTTAATCAGAACCACAAAATCTTTGCTTCACCTCGTGTTTTTCTTTTGAGTAACAACCATCCCCTGTCATGGCTATTGTTACAATGCATCGGACTTACAGAAAAACGTTCCTGGAATTTGTTGCAGTTTGTGATAAATTTATACTATATTTTGGTTTTTTGAGCAGGGTAAGAAGATTAGTCGGGCTGTGAAAGACGAACATCTGAAAGACCTCAATGCAACTTTTGCTGATTTACCTGCACCACAATTAGAATGGGAGGAGATGGCTGAGGCACCAGTACCCCGCTTAGATGGGGCTGCTATACAGATTAAAAATATCTTGTATGTTTTCGCTGGATATGGCACCATTAATTATGTAAGAAGACTTTCAAAATTATTGAGAGAACTTTATTGAATACAACTAAATCAATTATCTTAATCAAATCTGCATTGTATTGAATTGGTGGTACCGATTCTTTGGGCATGATATACAATCTCTAATTGAATTGCATTAAGGTTGGAGATTAGCTCATCTTATTAGTTGAATTAATTAACATCAGCATCATCCTTTACTTCACAAATTATATAATTCTTTTTCTTAGGTAGAGAGTAATTTCTTTCTTTGCACAATTTGTTGCAGGATTTATAGATTTCTGATACTAAACTAACTCATGTCTTAAAGTTAAATTAGTCAACCTTACAGCAAATTTTTATGTATTCCCATTATTTTCTTACTTGGGCTCTCCTATCTATGCAAGTGTAGAATTTATAAGTTTCCTGATGCAAACCAACTCAAATTGTAAATCTAAATTAATTGACTATTTGTACAATTTCTTACATCCTCCTCTTCATTGCATAAATCATTTTCTTCTTAGAAAATTACATCTTTGTATGTACAATGTCGTGCAGGGTGTATAGTGTTTCCTGTGGAAACTAATTCTATGAGATGTTATGCAATGCTATTAAATTGATGCTAGTATAGATTTTAAATGAATATATTGCACAAATAATCATTGATTTGCAAGAAAGTAACTTTTCTAACGCAAAAAAATGTACTATAAGCGATGAATAATAAAAAGCTAAATAAGTGTGAATAATGAATCTCTTAAGGATTTGAGATTCGATATAGAATCACAATATATAAAAATTTAGTGCATAAATCAAATTCTTGATGGAGATTTGTGCTCTGATTAGATCCAAAGGAGTGAGTGAGGAACCTAACTGAGAATTTGTACTTGCCCAACTTAGAAATAGAAGTTGATACGTGGACACCTAATTTTCAAAGGATTTGTTGACACCATGACAGAAAGTATGAAACATGGACACCTAGTTTTACATGGATTTTTTTTAATGAAATTTGAGTCATTGAAAAGTTCATTACGCACTTCCATATATTTTTTAAAATACTGCTGCAAATTCTACAATATTTTGTTTCTAGAAATATTTCTTTATTTTACAAAAGGTTTAGTTACTTTTGGTCATTTTAATTCACGTGTCAATTGGTAACTAAAAAAATAATGAAAAAGAAAAAAAGAAAAGAAAAATGATGAATGAAATGAAATAATCAATGAGACGCATCTCTTCAATCTAGCCCCACCTCAAACAATTAATTGCTAAACAACACAACTCTTCGACACTACAACTTCCATTTGATGATTCAGTGATAAAAAAGAAGAAATCCAAACAAGGAACTTATGCTGATTCAACAAAATTAACTTATGGATATTCTAATAGATGTAAATCTCAAAACTCAATAAAATTAAAACTCATATCTAATCATCTCAGTCTACTCGGGATCCCTGAGAGGAGACAACCCATGGTTGCTAATCAGATTTCCTGGACACTATGTTCCACCATTGTTAGTATTGGTAGATTGAAACTGAAGGTATACCCGGGATGACAGAATCATGGGATCTTGATTGGGTTTACCTCCATTTTCCTCACAATTGAGACTAAAACATCTAAATTTTTTTATCTTTTATCGAGAGTTTTCTCTTACATGTTAAGAGAGGTAATTAACTATGAGTTCTCGCTTATGTGAAGTAGTGCCCCAGATCTAAGTAAACCCTGACGCTATCTTCATGGAAAATCTGGTTAACTATAATCTGACCCAAGGAAGATTGAATCCTATGTTTGCAAAGCGGGATAAATAGTTGCCCCAACAAATATGGTCGTCACTTTTGGAAGGCTAAGACAATCTCCATCAACTTTCGCTCATGATTAGGGAGAGGCTCGCTCATATACGAATTTGAGCCTCTCCCTAATCATGAGCACCTAGTTGAGGCAAGCAATGGGCCGATAATTCTACATGAGCATTGCCCCTAGTCTGTATCCTAATACATCTGTCTTCACCATAAATGGGCTGAAGTCAAGATGTGCTAATATTGGCATGCTGGCATGTCTCTTTTTATTTGATCGAAGGTTCATGTTGTCGCTTTCCTCCAATTGAAACTGTCTTTATCCAACTACTCCATCAGTGGCCATGCTATTATGCCATACCCTCGCACAAACTTCATGTAGTACCCGGTGAGACTTAAGAACCCTCTGAACTCCTTCAAGTTTTATATCTCCACCTAGTAGCTCAGCTATATGCTCCTGTATCGCCATGACGAGTGAAACTAGGGTTCTGCATAGGCTGGCATCTCCTCGCAGCCTTCTTCCCTTCTACCTAAATCTCCATAGTCAAAGATTGTCAATCTAGCTTTGTCTCCTTGATTTTTTGTAACCACTTCATCCCCATAATCACATTAGTACTTACCAATTTCAAGAGAAGAAAATCCTCCACTATCTACATGCCCTGTAATTTCAGCACCAACCTCCTGCAAATCCCCTTACTCTTTTTCACCTTCCCTGCCCCCATCATGACTGCAAAACTTCTTGCATCCTCCAACTCCAAACCCAACTAAACACGACTTGATTTGAGTTGAAGTTATGTGTAGCCCCATTATCCACTAAGACCATCATTGGTTGCTCCTGGATCTATCTCCTTACCTTTGTGGTGTGATTTGGAATAAATCCCACCATTGACGGACACTTCCGCTACATTATAGTATATTTGCTCCCCTCCCTATTATTCTTCCTCATCTAACTCCTCACTGTCAGTCTCCACCTTATCACAAACCATAAGCACTTGGAGTGTGCGGTCCTTGCATCGATGGTCGGGTGCATACTTCTTCTCATATCGGAAACACAAACTCTTCGCTCTTTTGTCTTGCAACCTCTGCCTTTGTGAGGTGATTGAACTTGGCTTTGGGGCGATCTCCCTCGCTCTTCTCCCTTGGTGTCTCTCACTGAAAGGACACCGTCTGAGTCTTCGGTGCCAATGAAGTTGTGGGGTTCCTGTAGGAGCCTCCAGTGACTCAGTTCCTGCTAGTCCTCTCTATCTGCCTTCGGTTCTCCGCTATTTGGGTTAGCTCCATGGTCTCCTTCAATCCCCTTGGCCTCAACAATCGGAGGTCTGCCTGTATGTTAGGTTTGAGGCATTTCATGAAATTTTCCTCAAACACCGCTTCCGAAATTTCCATCAATCGCCTTGACAGCGACTTAAACCTTTCCTTGTACTCCATGATGGCCCACTTCTGTGTCAAGGCAAGGAATTGCTTATATAGGTCTCCTTACTGAATGACTCGGAAACTTTCTAACAAGCAATCGTTAAACTCCTCCAAAGAGCGGATCGATTATCTAGCCTCCCTCCATTGGAACCAAGTGAGGACTTTCCCCTCCAGACATAGCCCTGTGGTCATAAGCTTCTCCTCCTCTCTCAATGCATTCACTGCGAAATACCTCTCCATTCGATATACCCACCCATTAGCATTCTTCCCTTCGAATACCGGTATCTTCAACTTACTCACCCTATGATCACCACCGCCCAATAGCTTCTTTTTCCTCCAATGTAACAATTGTCGTGATCCCTCCATATTTCCCTTGTGTATCGAGGGCGGGAATCCCACCTGTCTTTCACCCTACTTGGTTGACCTAATCTCCACAGCTTACTTTGATCCCCTTTATCTTTGGTAGCCCATTCCCTTTGCCCGAAATACCTCCCATAGTGGTCGCCACCCCACCACCTCCACCAAAAAATTCCCTCCTTGCTATCCCCCATCCAAAAACCCTCATCCACCCCTTATTGAAGCCCTAAGAGATGACTCTTAATGAAAGGAATTCTCTTTGTCAAACTCTTTATGTCCGATCTCATTTCCCTTGGTTTTGGCCAAGGGAATTATGGTTGATTTTTGGTTGGGGTTAGCAATCAGAACCATCAGTGGAGTTTTAGCTTGCATCTCCCTATGCTTACTTAACCTCTCATCCACCCCTTCAAATCAGTTCTTCATAGATGAAAACCTTTCTTTCATATTGGGTAATTTCTCCTCCTCCCTAGTTTTGAATTGCTCCATATTGCCTTCGAATGCATCCACCTTCTTTGCTGCCATTGTCTTCAAAAAAACCTCACTCTGATAACATCTTGGAAGTAAAAACAACAAATAAGAGAGAAGAAAAGCAGAGGAACACAAGATAATGGTTGTTTTTTGGATTTCTTCTTCAAATGCAAAGCAAGATACAACTGATTTACTATTCAAGAGGTAGATCATCTCTCTCACAAACCCTAGCCGCTGCTAGGAGATTCACCAAATAAAACTACAATAAACATATATTCTTCATAATTCTAAAATAACAACATAATTAGTCTTAAATGGGCTCTCCTAATTCTCTCCCTAATCAATCCCCTTTCCTTAATTAATTCCCTCTCTTATTTGAATTCAAACAGGATCTCTTTTCCTAAATAATTCCATCCGAATTTTTAATAAAGCTTTCCTTAATTAATTTTGTCTTTTGGGCCCCACAAAGTTGGCCGAATTCGCTCCCCCCCCTTTTACTTCCTTCTGGCCTTGGCTGGTTTGTCTCTTGCTAACAGGCCGGCTTGGTTGGTTCAGGCGGCCCAACCCTCCCGCTGCTCTTGTCGCTCCTATTGCTCCTGCCTCTCCTGCCATATCAAATGCTTGGTTTTTGTAAACTTTAAATCTATTAAGTGTTATAAAATGCTGGTATTCAAACCAATCCTACATATGCCCACATTTTAAATGTCATTTCTTTCTATTCTCTCTATTACACTGAGTTTGGTTATTATTCCAATGAAATCTTATTGATTTTATATTGATTAGTGCTTTTATTTATTTAATATCTTTGCATGCAGGTACACTCTCATGTGGATATCTATAATTTTACTGACAATTCATGGATTGGAAAGTTTGACATGCCAAAAGAAATGGCACATTCACATTTAGGGATGACAACAGATGGAAGACACATCTATATAGTTACTGGACAATATGGACCACAATGTAGGGGGCCTACCTCTCGCAACTTCGTGCTTGATACTGAAACAAAAAAATGGCATGATTTACCTCCTTTACCTTTTCCTAGGTGTGTACTGCTTTAACTAGGGCGTTCGTTTGTTTAATTTATTTAATTTTCTTTAATATTTCTTCCTTTAGTCTCAGTAGGGCTAGGTTGGTTTATGGTCATTCTGATGTATTTCAGAAATTATGTTTTCTCAACTTATCTGAAAACTTTCAAGTTTTTTTTTTTGCGTTTTAATTTTGGACTTGCTTTGTATTTTGGTATCTTGTCTCTTTTGCCTTTTTTATTTCATCCATGATGAAAAGCTCCTTATCTCTCATATTTGAGCTTTTAATTTCCTCTCAATTTTTTGCCCACTTTTGCACTTCCCATATCTCACCAAAATTATTATTTGGCCATCAAAGGTTGTTTTTTTTGAAGTTTTCTATCGTTTTAGTCCTTATTCATTAGAAAGCTGGCTTCCTCGTTTGGGAGACAATAATGATTTCCCTGTTGATTCCTAGATATGCGCCAGCTACCCAGCTTTGGAGAGGCAGGCTTCATGTTATGGGTGGCAGCAAGGAGGATCGCCATGATCCTGCATTGGAACATTGGAGTCTTGCAGTGAAGGATGGGGAAGCCCTGGAAAAAGAATGGCGTACTGAGATACCAATACCTCGTGGTGGTCCCCATAGGTTCGTTGATAAGGAATTTCCTCAAGCCACATATTCATTCACATCTGTTTATTGTAGTTTCTATATTTTACAATATATATGGGCCCATTATCTTACAATAATGCACATAAGTTATCATTAAAAAACCACCAGTTTTGTTATAGCATTTGTAGGTTAAAAGCAAGCTCTTGGGGTTACACGTCCATGTTTTACTGAATTCTCATTTGCCTAGTATCACTTTTGGGCCAGATTGTGAAAGTCGGATTGGATTTTGAATCAGAAGAAGGATAGGTTTAATGTTCAATGATTAGATCAGGGTTGAACTGGATAATGTTATAAATATTACAATGATTTAAATATCATTTAAATCACATAATAATTAAGTAATAATGTAAATTTATAACTAAAAAATAAATAAATTCATACAAAAATAATACATTCTATTGTTTTAAACTAAAACATATTCAATCTTTAAATTTGACTCTTAATATGACACAATAGAGAAAAAGGATTCATGTAGCCGACCCCACAGTGGGATATAGACTTGTTGTTATTGTTTTTTATATTCAATCTTTAAATTTAATTCTTATTTAACATAAAATTAGTTGACATATAGGTTATAAATTTAATATAAATAATGGTTAATTTATGTTATATATTTATGTTAAAATCTCAGTCGCTCTTGACACTTGATCCCCATGGTCAGGATGAGAATCCGTAGGAGGGTCACTTGGATCACGTCAATCTCCTTCTATATTTGGGTGGTTGATTTAGGAAGGATTATATTGAGGCAATTATACATGATTCTTTATTTATTGTTTTTTTATTAAGACATCTTGTATAGATTTATAAATAGGGATAATTTTATATAATAAAATTAAGGGCGCTTTTTCCCTCTCAAATTCTATGAATTCTAACATGGTATCAGAGCTAACGGCCTTCATTGCTGTTGTAGAATGATCGTAGATTATTGGAGGAGTAAAAAAAGAAGAAATCGAAGGCTTGCCACAGACCCAAGCCGCAGACGGAGCCCCTGCGGATGGAACTCTGCCGACAGACGCCATACAAAGCATTGCCAAGGACGAACACCCCGACAGCATCCCCCCTGCATACGGAACCTTGCCGACCGACGTAGAAGCGGAGCGTTGCAGAAGACACAAAAGCCCTAGCCGACCAGAAGGGGCTGGTTGGTATCCCGATCCAAATTTTGTAACTTCTGATCCAACAAGAAGGGAAAGTCGTCGAAGGAGCTTAGTCAAACAACCACGAAGGAGCCGATGAATCGTCGCGTGCCTACCAATTCGACAGGAAGGGAAAGTCGTCAAAGGAGCATAGTCGAACAACCACGAAGGAGCCGAAGAAGCCCGCATGCCTACACCTCCTGTGAAGCAACTTCCTATCGATCCGATAGGAAGGGAAAGTCATCGAAGGAGCGAAGCCGAACAACAACGACGAAAAGAGCCCCGAAGACTCTCATCGAGCTGCTCTCAATTCGAAGCATACTTTTGCGTGCATGCCCTAGTTACCCGAACCAAGTCTTTCAAGGACTTGGCTCGACTGATTATCTTAAAAAAAATTCTTATCATCGACCTTTATTGTCGATTAGAAAAATTATTTTTCCGGGAGGCCATTGCCGGAAATATACATCCCACCACCAGCCTTTATTGACGGAATTCTGAGAAATATAAGTTCCTACCACTGGCCTTTATTGCCGAAATTATGAGGAATACATGTTCCTACAACTGGCCTTCATTTTCGGAATTTGGAGGACCTTCGTGCATCCAAGACCGAGGGGAAATCGAGCGGGAGGGCTCCTCTTGTGTGCGATGTCTAAAGTCGACCAAGCCTAAGTGAGCATAGGACCTCCTGCGTGTGTCTGGAAAGAGCCGAGAGTTTCCTCTCATGCGAGGATAGGAACAAGCAAGAGTGCATGACTTGCACTCCCTCATACGATCAAACCAGAGGGATCAAAGGCCTTGCGTGCACCTTTACTGGCCAATCGAACAGGAGTTTGTTTAGGTGGAATCAGATGACTTGGGGAGGAGGAGATCGCTGAGTCACTTGAGATGTATGTTTATGCTCTTGTCCTTAAAGCTTGCCGCAACTACCACGTCTTCATTGCCGACATTCCCTTGAGAATCGAGAGAGGTGGACTCAAAGGATAATGAATCCATTTTTTATCTGTTATCCCACCACCGACTTTTATTACAATTTTCAATATCTTTAGGGCTACTATTCAACACAGCCTTCATTGCTACCCCACACATTATAGGCTTGATTAATATAATCTTCATTGCTATCATTTGCCGTTGTCGCAATGTCTGAAGGTAATTCCTCCCAAAGTTTTGACCAAAGGGAGGACTCTATGGTGCACCAAGGGACTTGTTAGCTCTACCTCTTTGCGTCTAATTACCAAGCTGGGAATGACAGATCTATATTCTCTAGCTTGATGGGGACTATTAAAATCTCAGTCGTCCCTTGGTAGTTGATCCCATGGTTAGGATGAGAATCTGTGGGAGGCTTGCTTGGATCACACCAATCTCCTTCTATATTTGGGTGGCTGATTTAGGATGGATTATATTGAGGCAATTATGTATGATTCTTTAGTTATTGTTTCTTTATTAAGACATCTTGTATAGATCTATAAATAGGGATAATTTTGTATAATAAAATTAAGGGCATTTTTTCCCTTTCAAATTCTAGGAATTCTAACAATTTATATATAATTTACACCTCTAAATTCTACGAAATTTAGATTATAAAATTACATCTATAAATTTACTTTAGATAATTTGTAATTAAAAAGTAGATACAAATTAATTTTTTGTATTATATAATTAAAAAAATTAAAAATAAATAAATAAAAAATGAATATTTTAATTAAAAATTTAAAATTATTTATATTAAAAAATATGTGTTAAAATATGTAGTGTATCTGTTTTGAATTTGAGAGCTTTATCTTGGTGTGTAGAGTATGTATTTTGAGTCTCACATTACTTGGGCACTATGTGATAGCATTCTTTATATAACTTTTTTATTTCATATAAGTAAAGAAATCACATGAGATAGTGGGGTCATATGATAAAATTTAGTTGGTGCTTATTTGATAAATAATTATTATTTTAAACTTAAAATAGGTTAAAATTAAATTAATTCATTAAGTTAAATACTTGATATTAAATTATTAAATTAATTAATTAAATTATTTAAATAATTTAATAAATAAACTGGCTATTTTTGAAAGCAGACATCATTTCGCCGGTTAATTGGTCGACTGGCGTTTTGACGTAGTTTGTGCTGGTTTGATGTGAAACCAGTTATAGGAGTTTACCGGACCGGCTGGTTCTCGAGATTAAACTGGTCGGTTTCGTGCACTTTTTAAAATATTGCTTTTGAGTGTGTTGTTCTCTATATGCAACATTTCTGTAATTACTGTTAAAATAGTGGAATTTGATTGTATTGTTGTTGATCGCATTTTGTCACCTCGTTTGTTGATGTTTTCGGCTATTTCATTTGGCTCGTAAATCCTTCTTGTTCTTCTTCAATGGATATTTGTACTTATTCATTTTGATTATTTTCTTTACCTGCAAAGTTTCTAAATTTGATATGTTTGCAAAATCTAGTGTAGAAAATTGTTGACGCTTGATTTTGCTTTAAGTTGTCAATGTACAGGAATGGAAAAGAAGAATATTATTTCTAATCCTTTGTAAAGTCTTAATTATCTAACCATTTGAAAACTTCTAACCATTTGAAAGCTTTCAAGTTTCACCACTCCTGAATCTTTTGATCAGAGCACCTGAGAAAATGCTGGCATTATTGTAGAATTATATTTGCGTATAACCAATAATGAAGAGGATTTTTTTATTTTAGTAGTATATCTGGTATATTTGTACCTTAAGGAGAAAATGTGTCAGATTTCATATGGAAAACTGTGTACATGGAGAATATTATGTGGAGAAGTTTTTGAATCACAATTTGCAAAGGTGTAACAGAAATTTTCTTATAGTGATATTCGTGCTAAAAAGCTTCTAGAGTGAAACTAATAAGGAAGAAAATTTACTGTATTTCAGTAGTATACCTGTTACCTTTATATCAAAAGGAGAAAAATGTGGCTGTATTTCACGAGGAAAATTGTGAACATGGGGAATATTATGATGGAGAAGTATAAGTATCACAGCAAATGGTGTAACAGAATAATTTTTAATGATATTTGGGTGGTGATGATGATCAAATTTCTTCTGTACTTTCTTATGATGCTATAAATGTAGTTACCAGTAGATCTGTCAATATTGAACCCGACCCGAAAACCCGACCCGAACCCGACCCGAAAATTTCGGGTTTGGGTTGACCCGAACCCGAAGCGGGTCGGGTTTGGGTCCGGAAAATCGACCCGTTTGCAAAACCGGGTCAGGTTCGGGTTGACCCGGCAACCCGAAAATGACCCGGAATGACCCTGAAATCGAACCTGCCCGCTCTGCCCGAGGTGCGGGTCCGGAAAAATGACCCGTTTGTGAAAACGGGTCGGGTTGACCCGAACCCGAATAGTGCCGGGTCAATTCCGGGTTCGACCCGAACCCGACCCGTGACCCGAAATTGACAGGTCTAGTTACCAGTAAACCTTGTGAATATTATGTCATGTAGTGCTATTAAGGAAAGAACTAGTTGAGAGTCTAGATGTTGTAATCGCTTAGGTCTTAGGGTTTAAGGAATTGACTGAGTCTTAAAGAGTGGATTAGGGTTAGGGATCTTGTAATGTCGAGAAAATATTGTAGAATTGTATATGGATAAACTTGCTTTACGAGGGAGATGAAAATTGAAAGCATTATACATTGGAAATTTGGCATATGGTATTGATCAAAAGCCATGTGAGGGTTCTTTAGGGGTTGTAGAGGTTGTGGTGAGGGAGATGATAAAGGTAGAATTAGGTTATGCAAATATAACAACAACATCATTAAGCCTTTATCCCAATACGTGGAGTCGATTACATAAGTCATTTTTCTCCATCGTGTCATGTTAAGAGTCAAATTTTCATTTAAATCTAATAAAGAAATGTCATTTCTAATAATTTCTAACCAAGTCTTTTTAGGCCTACCTCTACCTTTCTTAATATAAACCAAATCTAATACATTTACTCTTCTAACTGGGTCATCGGATATCACGACCCGGCCCGAAGGTTCGACTTAACAAGGCGGGAACGAAAGTCGGACGGTAGAATCAAATCATTTTAATTCATAAGTAATTCAACATTTAAAATATCAACTCTGAGGAGCCACTAACAAAAATACTTTAATACTTAATATTTGTAAGGATCATAATTTACCTATTTTCCAAATTGCATCTTCTATAAATAAAATTCTCTTTCTGTCATCTCAAAATCCTTAGTATCTTACCTGAAATATTTATTTAATGGAATGAGTTTACAAAGTAAACTCAGTGGGTAATTAAATAAAAACAATTAACATGAATTAAAATAACATTATATAATATCCTTAACCTATTCATCTTCCTTATTTTTATTTCATTCATTTTAGTCATTTATGCATATCATATTACAGTTCTTTATTATCTTTCTAGAGCTTTAATATTTATTTCTTTTCCTCTTTCATTTGTACAAGAGCACCATCTAAATGTGCCGGAGGTACAACCATTTTCCTTTCCCTATTTCATTTCCTTTTCCTTTTTTACGTGCATAGGTACATATTGCTTCCCCAGCCAGTATCATATGGAGGTGAACTCCTGTAAGAATGCTTGTATATCCTTTTCCCTTTTTCTTTTGATTTATTTATGTTATATCTTTTCCCTAATATTTATTTATTTGCATTCTTATATGTGTGTATAAGTATCATACATATATGTATTCTTTTCATCTTCACGTTTCATTTTCTTACACATATCATTTGGCTTTCCTTTTCTCTTTCCATCTTTCATTTATTTTTCCTCCTTTTTTCATTAAATCATTATTTATACATTTACATATCTTACATAAAATATTACTTTTCATTATAAGGAAACTTTCCATCTTTTATAACGGATGCAATTAATCAGAAGATTATATAGAAGACTATATAATCACAAAATATTTCTAATTTTAACATTTACAATTTATGCAAAGAAATCAAATATTTAAAGAAGATCGTGCATAAAATATAATCACGAAATAACATAAATTTATCTACTTTGAACTTTTCAGGCCTTCGATGCTTGGTACAACCTCGAATCAATTTCCCTATTTCTTGTTGAATTCTTGTTGGCTCAACTCTTACGACTTGATCTCTCCACTTTTAAAACCCTAAATTCATACAATATAACTTGCATGAAATATAATTACATAACAAAATTTAATTAAAATTATACCATAGAGAATTCACTTATGAATGGGAATATCTAAATCATTCTTCCTCTCCCAAATTCCTTCCCTTTGCCTTCAATTCCTTCCTTTTTCCTCAAAATCCCTTCTTTTTTTCTTTAAGAAATTTTCATTAGCTTTTAAACGAAGAATTCAACGAAATTTATAAGAAAAAACAAAAACAATTCAACGAACCTTCTTCCCTTAGTCGTTCCTCTCGCTTCTTCCTAAATTCCATTCCTAAATTCCACTCCTTCAGCGATAAAAATAGGAAAGGAGTTAAGAGGAGTTGTCGATTTTCATCCCTAATCAAAATCTTGGGCTCAAATTAACAAATTGAAACGCCCAAGCAAGACTTCGGACGTCCGCTCCAATGCCATCTTCTGCTCTTTCATCTCGTTCATGAATAACGACCCTTTCCTGGGACGCAATTTTTATTAGGCCGGTGGCCAGTTCGGTTGAATCGGCCCCCAGCTGGTCTGTTACAATCTCTCCTACTTATAAAAAATTTCTTCATTGAAATTAAATCAAGTATAAGGTAACATACCTTAGTTAAATAGATGAGGATATTGACTTCTCATTTCAGCTTCTCCCAGGTGGCATCTCTTTCTGATCCATGCTTCCATAAAATCTTCACAAAAGGTATTGCCTTATGCCTCAATTGTTTTACATCAAAATCTAGTAATCGTTCAGGTTCTTCAATATTTTTCAAATCAGGCTACAAGTCATTTAATTTGGACTAAATTCTTCTGAATTCATCTGAGACATACTTCCGGAGTACTGATATATGAAACATATTATGAATTCCTTACATATGCACTGACAGATCCAATCTGTAAGCCATATATTCAATCCTCTCAATGATTTCAAAAAGACCTATGAATCTTAGACTCAATTTCCCTATCTTTCCAAACATTTGCACACCTTTCATTGGACAGACTTTTAAGAAAATAAATTCTCCCACTTCAAACTCAACTGGTCTTTGCTTTGTATCATAATACTTTCGTTGCTTATCTTGCACTGCCTTTAGTCTGTCTCTGATTAATCTGATTTTGCTAGTAGCCTCATCTATCTGTTCAGTTCTAATGATTTTTCTTTCACCTATTTCTACCCAACATAAGGGTGTTCTATACTTCCTCCCATAAAGAGCATCATATGATGCTATTCCAATACTAGATTGAAAACTGTTATTGTATGCAAATTCAATTAACGGTATGTGAGTCACCCAATTTCCTCTAAAATCTAAGACACATAACCGTAATAAATCCTCCGAAGTCTAAATTGTCCTTTTTGGTTGCCCATTTGTCTGAGGATGAAATGCTGTACTGAAAGTCAGTTGGGTGCCCCTAACTTCATTAATTTTCTTCCATAATTTAGAAGTGAATCAGACATCTCTATCAGAAACAATTGATTTTGAAATTCTATGCATTCTCACAATTTCATCCACATATATTTATGCCAATTTCTTCACTGAATTTGTCTGTTTGATTGGTAAGAAATGAACTGACTTAATTAATCTGTCAATAATAACCCATATTGCATCTCGACTTTGCTTTGACCTGGGTAATCCAATTACAAAATTCATTGCAATGTCTTCCCATTTCTAGTCAGGTATAGGTAAAGGTTATAGTTGACCACTTGACCTTTGATGTTCTGCTTTAACCATCTGACAGGAAATGCATTTTGCTATAAATTTTGCAACATTTCTCTTTAATCCTAGCCACCAAAACAATCCTCTCAGTTCTTGATACATCTTTGTACTGCTTGGATGAATTTCATAAGTTGAGAAGTGAGCTTCCTGCAATATCTCTTCTCTTAAATTTCCAACACTTGGAACACATCATGTCCTTATACTTTAATAATCCTATTCCATCAACTTCAAAGTTCTCTAACTATCCTTCTTGTACTTTCTTTATGATATCCTGAAATTTTTCATCTTGAGATAATGCATTAAGCACTATATCCTTAAAAGCAGATTGAATCACCAACTAATTCAATATCATATCTTTTGTATTTTCTTGATTAACCACTA